TGATGATCATAAAATTCCAAACATTTGTTTTCACTTTTGATCAGAATATTTGTAGTCATTGCATATACTGCCCTGATTACCACAGAATTCTGTATTTAGTTTGTATACATTGTATATTTGTATTAACTACGGGACATTGTGAGTATATGTAGCACTACATGTTACTACATGTATACTCAGTGGGTTGAAAGATGACGTTATTATACATGTAGTAGTGAATACAACAGAATTCATCCATCTATAAAATGCCATATGGACTCGTTTGAATGTCTTCTTTATTTTGAAAATGTACCTCATATTTGAGATAACAAACCATTCAGCTAACATAGTTTTAATTGACAACCAAACATTTGGCTTACAGAGATATGCTTTGAATTTCTTTATAATGTTTCAGGTTTTAAATTAACTCAGTTGAAATGTTTTTACTAGGGTATTTTGCTAATGTTGAATATTAGCAATATTAGGCCAGGAAAATGAATTTGCAGTTTCTCATTTCCAAGCACCTGCTAAAAAATGTGCGCCTGAAAAATTTATTTTAGAAAAAATATGAAATTACAAGGGTAAAATGATAATATACCTAGGCAGCTCATTTTCAAATTTCAATGATAGGGGAAACATACATTTTTTTCCTTTTCTTATCATATTTGCTATAATATTGGAATCACATGGTATCACACCTATGTCACTTAAAGTGTATCTATTACTAATAGTGCAAAAGTGATTTGTTTAAAATCACATTTTTTTTAATGTAAATAATTTTATTCTCAACAGGTACATGCATTTTTTGAGTTTTCGGAGAAGTTTGAGAATGCTTCCAAGACAGCTTGGCTGTTCAGGTAATTATAACTCTCATGAGTTGAGTAAGTTTGAGAAGGCTTCCAAGACAGCTTGGTTGTTCAGGTAATTATAACTCTTATGAGTTGAGTAAGTTTGAGAATGCTTCTAAGACAACTTGGCGGTTCAGGTAATATAACTCTTATGAGTTGAGTAAGTTTGAGAATGCTTCCAAGACAGCTTGGCGGTTCAAGTGATGATAACTCTCATGAGTTGAGTAAGTTTGAGAGCTTCCAAGACAGCTTGGTTGTTCAGGTAATTATAACTCTTCATGAGTTGAGTAAGTTTGAGAATGCTTCCAAGACAGCTTGGTTGTTCAGGTAATTATAACTCTCATGAGTTGAGTAAGTTTGAGAAGGCTTCCAAGACAGCTTGGCGGTTCAGGTAATTATAACTCTTCATGAGTTGAGTAAGTTTGAGAAGGCTTCCAAGACAGCTTGGTTGTTCAGGTAATTATAACTCTTATGAGTTGAGTAAGTTTGAGAATGCTTCCAAGACAGCTTGGCGGTTCAAGTGATGATAACCCTCATGAGTTGAGTAAGTTTGAGAATGCTTCCAAGACAGCTTGGTTGTTCAGGTAATTTTAACTCTCATGAGTTGAGTGGTCATTTTTAGCTCCGCTGTCGACTTTGTCGAGCGGAGCTTATCATATGAGTGATTGTCCGTCGTCCGTCGTCCGTGTCAATGTTTTACTTTTTCGACTTCTTCTTGAAAACTACAAGCCTAAATGCTTTGATACTTGGTGTATATGTACCTTGGGTAGACCTCTCTTAGGTTTATTCATTTCATGTTGATATCTTTAATTCTCTAATTTTGGTGAATATTTTTGTCATTTTTGGTAAAAACTGATATTTTCGACTTCTTGTTAAAAACCGCTAGTGCAATTGCTTTGATATTACATATATAGGTACTACATGTGGACCTCTCTCAGATTTGTTAATTTTGTAATGATATCTTTAATTCTTTAATTTTGGTGAATATTTTTGTCATTTTTGGTAAAAACTGATATTTTCGACTTCCTGTTAAAAACCGCAAGTCCAATTGCTTTGATACT